TACACTGTTTCACTTTTCCTTTAAATGTTTTAAAAATTTAAATACATTCAAGACGCAACATAATATTTTTTTCTAAATCTAGAACCTTGCAATTTTAAAGGATATTTGACTTATAGACAAGACCATTTATTTCATATTTTATTGTTTTGTATCATTGTTTTACACGATTTGTCTAAAATTGTTATTTTTTATTATTATTTTATTTTACATTTCAAGCCCACGTTAATCTTTAAATAATAGTATATTATGTTATTAGGAGTAAAAGTGATACTTTATGTGGCGATGCTAAACGTTTCTTAATAATGCCATGTTGCTTAGGAGCAAAAATAGAATTTTTACTAAAAAGTAAAACTTTTACTTGTMTATTATTATTAAGCAAAAGAAAAATAAAGATTTCTTCTTTTTTGAGTTCTTTGTTAAATAATGTTGTTTACACTCTCTAGGTTATTATTATCATTGATGCAAAATTTATAGATAAAAACAACTCGAAAAAGCTTATTTATTTGAGTCAATTATTGAAATGGTGATTGGTTGTAGTACAAAATTATTGTAGTAGGTATAATGAACTACTCTAGTGACGATTTCGAAAAAAAAGTGTATTTTTGAATTTTTTATATTTGTTTTTAATTTTGTATTCATTCAAGAAGCAATTTCATTTTTTTTTAAATCAGGAACCTTACAAATTTAAAGAATATTTGACTCAAACAAAACCATTAATTTTTATACTATTGTTTTGGTATTATTTTAACTTTAATCTTCAAATAATAGTAGGTATATTATATTATTATAGGAGTAAAAGTGAATTTTCAGACTTTTTATGTGTGTATTACTTCTACACTTTACTTCACTTTCCTTTGGTCCACAAAAACATTTCTTAAAATTTGATATTCGAAGAAATTTGTGAATATTTGAAAAACCAGTACCTCCTGTGTCACTTTGAGCCTCAAAGTGTTATTTTTTTCTCCAACGAAAAATCGCAGCTCCTGTTTGCAAATCGCTTGAAAACTGAGTGCAATTGCCTCTTCTTCCTCAGTGGGTGGTGGGGCGAAAGACACCCGTTGGAGGCAGATCTGCGAGTAACGAATCACCGACGCTTACTCGGCCACCACTCCAAGTGGGTGCTTTGATCGTTCCCAAACATCAGTCGGAACCCGACAGTGAGGACGCAAGCCTCACACGGAACCATTTCTCTTTCTTCATACGACGCGAATTGTGCTTGCTTGTGTGATGTGACTGACATTTGTGACTTTTTTCTTATTTTTATTTTTGGGTTATTTTGGTTCATTGGATTGTGGTGACACGTTTCTGGTGAGTACCAAGTAGGCGGTGGTGGTACCATAATCATTAATTGGGTTCCGCGATCAAACGACCACCTGTGTGTCTTAGTGTGTCATGGAAAAACAAGTGCTTTAAAACAATCAAAGGACCGGTAGCTTGATCCTATCTCGAGATCATTGACACAGTGAGAAGAATTCGACATGACTTGCTTAAATCATGCTCGATATTATTATATTATATATAATGAAATTGCTTTTTATTCAAAGATTGTAAAATGGATAGAAGAGGAAATAAATACGGTGGAAATGTCGGTTTTTAAATCCTTGTAATTAGATACGCGCAATATCGAATAGACAATACAACATTTTACCAACTGTTATTACTTCGAGTGTAAACATTGAATTAATTATAGAGATGCACGTCATGAGGGCAAAAATGCGCTTTCTTGGGGCTAATACGCAGTTCAAAGTTATCGATTTGGTTAAATTTGCGACAATTGAGAGATTTAATATGTTTTAGAACAACTAAAGTCAAAGTAGAAAAGAAAAAAATTGTATTTTTCAACTGGTCCTTAGTGAAAAACTCAATAAAAATTAATATTGATATTTTTTATTCTAATTCTGGAGCAAGAGAAATGTATTTTAGAAGAACCAAAGCATTGGCATTAAAATTAA